AGAAAGGGAGAAAATGTTTCATGTAAATCTATAACCAAAAAAAAGGACTGTTGAATTCTTGTAAATTTAAAATGAAGACGTGTATTTGTTCATTTTTAGTTTGTGATATGTTACCCAAAAATCAGAGTAGTTTAACAAAAATTTAAGACCAGTGAATAGAAGAGGTTGATAATATCCACAGTCAAATTGATAGAGAACTCGATCCTGTTGAAATATTTAGTCTCCTTGGTTTAATCAGAGCAATTCCTGCTCTTCGAAAAAAAAAAATTTTTGTCTACCAAATGAAGAAATTGGATTTCAAACATTTTTTCAGCTATTGCAGGCTTTTTTAACTTTAAGCTTGCTCCCTATATCTAGATCAAGCATCTAGCATTCAGATTATGTATATTACAGAAAATCATGTTATAATGTTTGTTCAAAAGCATGAGTTAACAATCTACGATCTTAGTCATGGCAGAGGTACTAATGTTTTCTACCTTGAATCAGGGTGCTCAAATTTCAAATGATAAAGCCAATGTCCTTTAAAATCTGTTTAAGTATATGCCTGCTGTAAATATTGTATTTTTTAAGAGTATTTTAAAATAATTTATTTTATTGTCAAAATATATATATTTTATATGTAATGTTGTTAAATACGCTTCTTACTGAAATTTTATATTTTTAATGGACTAACCAGTGGTGCTGGTTACCTAGTTGTTCTTTAATATTTCTTTTTATTTTGCAATGTATTTTAGATGTTATGCTTTTAGAACTTATAACTAAAGTTTTATTTTGTTGTGAAGATCTTGGTAAATACTTTAGATAATACATTACTTATTTGTTGAATTGAATTTAAGACAAAATAGCGTATTTATAATGTTTGTTCACTAGTGTAAAGTAAGATTTTTTTCTAATAAAACAGATATGAACCTTACAGTACTTTAATTGCCAAAATATACAATCATCTCGCCACAATATATTTAAAAAAACTTGTTTATATTTTATTTTTCAACAGAAAATGGAGATAGAACAAAATAACACTGTATTTTATAAAATAAGTGTGTATTACATTGCTTTTTCTCCAAGTCAGGGTTTAGTAATTCAGACACCTGCACTTTAAGTATTTTAATAAAATTTCTTTAAAACTGTGGTAGCCTGTATAGGAAATTAATACAAATCAATTTTGTTTGCGTTTTTTATGTTGTTTGGTCTGCAGATCCATTTAAAACTTTGAACTTGATTTTCTCGGTTCGGAAAAACATGGAAATAGAACAAAATAATTCTAAACTTGCAATATTTTTATAAACTATGCACATATTGCTTAGCGAAAATACAAACAAAAGTAAATTGTAACTCCTTCATCGTCGTCAGAAACATTAGCAAAAAAAAAATCCACCAGGAAAATCCTCCTGAGAAAAAATCTCACAGGAATATTTTTACAGCGCATAAAACAAATGATATGTAAATATAATAGTTGTTTATAATATAAATATTTTATACATGCATATTGTTACAAGCAAAACCGTGATCCTTTATTTTTCATAAATGAATGGAAAAAAAAGTAGAACATGCAAGGAGCGTACATTTATTGACTGATAAAATGAACATACAAGGAGTGTACATACATTGACTGAAAAATAAGTAGAACATGCAAGTAGTGCTGCTGCATTGATTGAGGGTTTTGGATTGGGCAGACAATCTATCAACTTCAAAAAAATACAAAAAAAAATTTTAAGGCAGACGAATTTTTCTTAAATTTTTTTCTATAGGAATTTTTTCGGGGAGTTTTATTTCCAAGGGGATTTTTTTCCTAAAATGCGTTTCCCAGGAAAAAAGTTCTATAGAATTTCTATAAACTTTTGAAACATATGGCCTATAGAAGTCCTATAGAATTTCTATAAAATGTCTATTAATTTCTATAGAAAATGCTATAAAACTTTTTTTCTACAGAAAAAGAGTTCTATAGAAATTAAGAGAGATTCTATAGAAATTCTATAGAATTCTATAGGCCATATATTTCAAAAGTTTATAGAAATTCCAAAGAACTTTTTTTCCTGGGTTAGTAAAATCAGAAAAAAATTTCTGATATAAAACAAGGTTTTCTGATTGTATCACAAAACAAAACAAGTATAAAGAAAAAAGTATATTATTGCAAAGACTTAACCAAGTCTAGTTGCTCTGGGTTGCTCAAAAAGCTTATCGAGCTAAGCTTTTTTAGTAATAATTTAAGTTCCTTTGAAAACAACAAGTTTTTTTTAGTAACAATGTTTGTGGCTTTTGAAACAACAAGTATTTTTACGTTGTGTCAGGAAAAAAACTGTGAATGAAAAATTGGCTATTAGATCCATTTTTTCGCCAAGTGCTGAAGCCTATACCAAACTCCGCAATTTCAACATTTCCGTCAAGCATACAAAATCAAAGAACTTCAAATACATAAACTCCTTTGTATACACTAAAGCAAACCATTTATGCCAGAGTCATCCCTAAAGGTTCCCAATACAAAAATACATTTAAATAAAAGTTTACATATGACTTTATTTGTTTTATTTTTTATTTAGGTGCTCCCAGAAGTCCTTACGGTCTTGTCACGGAGCACCGCGGGAGTGCATTTAACTATAAGTTCACGCCTCCTTCCTTACCAATGTCGCTTATTGGGCTAGAGCCTTGGACCTCTGGGTTCTGAGCCAGAACTCTAACCACTGCGCCACGTCACTTACAGAACATACAAACAAACAGTGGCGCAAAAAATGAAGGACAAAGTACAAGCTAGAAAATTTTTATATGAAAAAAAAAATTGTTTGTAGAGTTCTGAAAAAGTTTCAAACTTGTAAAAATTTTATTTTGGTAATAAACTTTTAGCTGAAAATCAATGATGTCTGGTGGATCTTGTGACAATTAGTTGTGTAAGTTTTATTGTTCAAGATTGGTCATAAATATGCGCAAAAAGATTAGTGATTGAAATTATAAGATGATAAAAGTTCGGTCAAACTAGATGTTTTTAATTAAAATAAAGTATCAAATGGTTTTTTATTTTTTATTGTTATCATTTTTATAACATAAATTAACTTAATATTTTTTTACGGTATATGTTCAATTTTCTAAGATTCTTAAAGCAATTGTTTTTATAAATTGTTTGTAAAACAGACTGTACGAAAGCAACAACTATTATTAATCAATCTACTTTAAAGGTGTTCGATTTGGTACCAAAATTTGCACCATGATGCAGAATAAATAATAAAAACCAAGTGTGCTCTAAAAAGTAATTTTGTTTCAAGCATATATTGTACTATATACTTTAAAAGGTGTTTTTCAATTAAAAAAAAATTGTTTACTTTTGAAATATCAAGTTAAATTAAAAAATGTTGAAAAGTATTATATTGGATAAAATCAGTAAAAATTATAACTTTTTTTGAAAAGGTTGGAAAAAATTAGGCTCAATTATTAAAATTTATTATATATTATTGATAGAATACTTATTTTTTTGGTACAAAAGTTAATCAATAAAGTTCAAACGCAATGTCAAAATCAAATTAGACACAGAAAAAATCGAGTTATTATTTCCGGTTGAAGTTTAGTTACAAAAAACATAATACAAATGAACGGTTTTTCTCTGAAACTCAATAATAAACTGAAACACCTCGGATTCCTATAGCAAAATCCAGGCCATGGACAAAATATAGCTACAATCCAATCAGCAAGTGTAAACGAAAGAATTATTCAATTTCGATCAATCTCCAGAGCTCTTATAAAATCTGGAATCCGTTTTTGTCAACCATTAACTATAGTGCATTTGTTCAAATCTCTGACAATACCAAATCTATCATACAGATTAAAAATTTGTGATTATAAAAATACTTTTCTTAACAAATTAGACGTTGTTGAAAGATCAGCATTAAAATTTCTCTTTAGTATTTATTATTATTTAGTATCTGCATTCCTACTTTAAAATTGATGACGTATCTACCATCCTCGTTCAAAACAAATTGAATCTGTTAATCAGATTACTGAGCGGTCCGACCTGTTTTTCTTGATTTTAACTAAAATATCTGATGTTTATAAGGATAACTGCTTTATCAACGAAGTAATGAAAATTTGGAACCGTCTGGAGCTAAGCTTCATTCAGTGTTTGATTAAGGGGGAAAAAATCATTATTAAACGTCGTAACGATGACGTAGAAAATAATATAGCAGAAATTTTAAACCAGTCTTTTGAATTCTGGAACATCAGAGAGCAAAGAATAATAATCAAAAATTTGATGGAAGAAAGCATTCCAAGAAGGATTTAAATTAGAATTTTAACTTAGGGTATAAACTATTAGTTTTATGTCCTTTGTATTTTTTACCTGTAATTTTGGGTGATGAAAAGAATAAATAAATATAATAATAAGTGGAAACCTTATTATATTTGAATTGGAAATTTTATCAAATTTAAATTTGGTTTATTTTTCGTTATATTTTATCAACGACAAAAAATGGGGCAAGATGATAAGATTATTATCTTCTACTTGCTCCAGTCATATATTTCACGGTAAAATGTTGTACAAATTTAATTGATAATGACGAATATATATAAACAAAAAAAAAAAAAAAAAAAAACATGTGAAAATAAAATAAAATTTTAATAGACCAATCAATATCAAAAGTTTTTGTGAATGGTTTTTATCGGTACAGACATTTTGCGCTAAACTTGATTTACAAGAAAACAAAGTGTATGTAAACAAGAAAACAAAGTGTATGTAAACAAGAAAATAAAGTGTATGTAAACAAGAAAACAAAGTGTATGTAAACAAGAAAACAAAGTGTATGTAAACAAGAAAACAAAGTGTATGAATCATTGGATTTTGTACCATTTTTTAGTTATATCTTATACTCTAACATTAATAACAAAATATCAAATTGTTGTTTGCAGAAAAAATATTAAAAAATTGGACACTTCAATTATAATTATACTCCTGAATAAAAATTAAAACTAAAAAAATGTAAAATAGTTTTTTAAACTTTAAATTTTGTAAAACACCAATA